ACCAATCCATGAACAACCCATAAGAATTATCATTAGGCTGCAGAAAGCATGAATGTCCACTTCACCGGACTCCTTTAAGGATCTGACCAAGGGTACGGCTAGACTACATGCCTCTAGCAACAGAGGCATGTAGATTAGGCTACCAGGCATAGGAAAATGAAGCGGCGATTTAAATAATCGCCGCTTCATTTAGATTTAAATGACTGCCACGCTGAGCCGATCAGCTGTTTGTCGGCTCAGCGCGGTAGTCTGGATGCTCCGTGGTCGACATCAAAGGCATTTGTCAACCTTCCAGGTATGCCTCCTGGGATGAGATTTACCTGAGAGGTCAACAAATGCCTTTGATGTCGACCGCGGAGCGTCCAGACTACCCCGCCGCAGTTGATCAGCTCAGCGCGGCAGCCATTTAAATTTAAATTCATTTTCCTATGCCGGGTAGCCTAATCTACATGCCTCTGTCACCAGAGGCATGTAGTCTAGATGTACCCCAAGTGAAAGAGCTCTACTTCTGCCAACCCCAACCATCCTGGTTACTGTGGTTTACACCTTTTATCATACCGCCTCACAAGGACCCTTTTCTCACCAGCAGTTCATCAAACCAACAGAATCTTTCCAGCACTGGCCTCCCAGAAGTGCAGTTGATTCAAGCTGTAAGTACATGTTGGCACTCCCCATTTCTGCTGCTAATACATTTGCTAGAACAAAGGCTGAAGCCAAATAATGGACAGACCAATAAATGATACACACATGTATCACATGTGCCACTTCACTGATGCTACTAAGACTAACAATATATTTGATATTAACAATTTATCCAAACATAACACCAGGAAGTCCACATAAATTAAAACTATCACGCTGCCTTCCAATCTGTTTTAGACACCACAAAGAAAACATTTTCTGCTAAAAGTCACTGACTAGGTTAGTTACATTATCTTTGCAAAATACAGTCTCAGTGCCTCTATACAGCACAAACTCATTGCCAGCCTTTGTTCTAGCAAATGTATTAGCAGCAGAAATGGGGAGTGCCAACATGTACTTACAGCTTGAATCAACTGGACCTCTGGGAGGCCAACATCTTTTTGCAGAATGCCTAACTGTGAAGACATTGCACTCAAGTGCTTGAAATTGCTCACAATTTTTCTTCTTAATTACAAGCATAATCAGACAGCTCATTTGCTGGAAAACCCATCATGGATGCATAGCTGAACTGAACGAAGAAAAATTAGTCAACAATGGAAAATTCTGCTTTCCAAAATGTTTTGCACATTTTATCAGTGATATCATGGACCATCATTTGCACAGAAAATGGCATTATCTGTTTCTGCAGCATTTTTAAGCCAGTCTTGTAGACCTATGTGGCATCCTTCAGAAGATTCACTATGCAAAAAAACAATTAATTTTAGTTGCATATTATCCAGTATCCAGAACCCAGAAAAGACAGTATTTTCTGAAATCCAAAGATCTGTTGTAATATTTTTTCCCTGAAGACTTATTCTCATTATATATTTTCTTGCAAGCTTTCAGATATACATCAGGAGTTACTCTTCTACACCAGGAAAACACTTCTTTGGTGGTACCTTATATCTCCATGAACTTATCATTCACAACAACAGAAAAAGGATGTCAGATCCAATCATGTCCCTGATTTCATGGTGAACAGCATGTGCAAATTGGCTCTTTGAGACCAAGCCTGTATCTTTTCCTACACACTGGCATATGATTTACTGACATCTGTAGATGTACAACTTTAAGTTAATTACATTTTCAGGCCAATATTCACAGCTTGTATCTTCTTTCCATTCAAGCTGTGCAATAATAATTGCATAAAACCAATGTATCACTGTGCAGAACCAGGACATCACAAGGGAACCCAACATATAAACAGTCTTTTAGTTCCCAAGGTTAACACAAAGCCTGCCATTAGGGGACTCTTTTCTCCTTCAAATGCATAGTTATTTTTCTACTGTTTTACATGTTGCCTGAAACAGATCTAGCAAGGAGCACTTCCCTGGATCAGTTTAAGCACACTAGCCCAAGCAGTCCTTTGAGCGTAATGGAGATAGAATCATAGAATACTAGAATTGGAAGGGACCTTGAGAGGTCATCGAATCCAGTCCCCTGCCCTCATGGTAGGACCAAGCACCATCTAGACCATCCCTCATAGATGTCTATCTAACCTACTCTTAAATATCTCCGGAGATGGAGATTCCACAACCGCCCTGGACAATTTATTCCAATGTTTAACCACCCTGACAGTTAGGAAGTTTTTCCTAATGTCCAACCTAAATCTCCCTTGCTGCAGCTTAAGCCCATTGCTTCCTGTTTTATCCTCAGAGTTGTATCACTCTTTCAGATACTTGAAAACCACTATCATATCCCCTCTCAGTCTTCTCTTTTCTGAACTAAATAAGCCCAATTATTTTGGTCTTCCCTCATAGCTCATGTTCTCTAGACCTTTAATCATTCTTGTTGCTCTTCTCTGGACCTTCTCCAATTTCTCTACATCTTTCTTGAAATGTGGTGCTCAGAACTGGACACAATACTCCAATTGAGGCCTAATCAGCACAGAGTAGAGCAGAAGAATGAGGAAGGAAGCCATCTACACAAATCATGTCAACTGAACAGCAGCCTTGCTTGATTGACAAGAACTTGAGTGGCAAGATGAATAACACACGCTCATTAAAAGTATTGTATAGAATTTCTCAGCAGGAGAGATGAGTAGGATACCATCGATATCTATTGTAAACCCTGTTACACACCTTATCCTCATTTATTTTTTTCCCCTTCAGGAGAAGTCTTAAAACAAGACAGGATTCTAGGGCTACAGAATCTTCTGCAGCCACAGGATCATGTGTGAGCTGTAGTTAAGGTTATAATTATCAGGGCTTGACAATCTATGTAATCTACTCGCCTATGACTTGCGCAGAACACCGGACAGCGCAGCTGGCGAACGGGGCTTGCCGCGGTTTGGCGAGCCCTGATAATTATAGTATTGTTATAATTTAATTATGAAGACTGATTTGGGATTCAGAGAAGCATCCAGAATACTAGATGCTGGTCTAGAAATATGGAAGCTCACAAGCTTGGCCCTATGATCTTCCATTTCAAATAAACTCCAAGAAATGGGGCCCTCTACCTACATGTCTCTTCTAAAGGGAGAAAGCGGCAATGGTTTACCAACCACACCCATCATCTGCCAAAGTCATTTCCATTTTCTTCCTTTTCACAGCATTGGGCTTTTCTCCTTTCTTTTTCCCATTCATCACCAGATAGGGTCGGGGAGGACCTTAAGGTTTCTCTGTGCTACCTGTACTCTGTAGGTGGAAGGGTTAAGTTTCTTCGCCTGTATGCTACTCCACCCTCCCTGTGTGCTCCAATCCCCACTGTAAATCTGGTCACCATGAAAGTGCTAGCATTTCTCTTCTCCTCCATAACTACACGAACAGTAGATGAATCATGCTACAACCGGCAAGGGCTAACTAGGTCAACACCTCCTCCCTCTGGGACAAACAGAACCACAATGCTAATGGCATTCAGAGCTGAGCCACGAGCACTGCCTCCTTTTTTGCCCTCTTCTTCCCCAAATACAACCCTATGGAGAACAAACCCACCCTGATTTTGGGATGTGATGTGGGCTAGGATCAGTTTCTTCTTCCTTTCACCCATCTGGAGAACAGGATGAGGCTTCACCCAGGAAGCACAGCACTAATGTATACCTTGAACAATACTAAATTTCAGAGCTGGTTCTGTTTATCTTACTCTGTTGTATGTATCGTTTGTGTGTGTAAAATTAGACAGATGGAGTGGGAAATACTTTGTGAGTCTCAAATGTGTGAATGGGAGACATGGAGGGTGTTACCTGAAACTTCTAGATGAGCCACTGTTAAACAATCTTCCCTCCCTGCTGCAGCTCCCTGGCGCCCGGCCCCGCTCGCTGCCCCGTAGCTCTCCAGGAGCCGCTGATGCCTGCAGCTCCCGGGGATGAATCAGCACCGGCAGGGGCAGCATCAGCGGCTCCAAGAGAGCTACGGGGCAGGAGAGCTACCGGGCAGCAAGTGGGGCCATTCTCCCTGCCTGCGCCCGGGAGCCGCTGATGCCTGCAGCTCCCGGGGATGAATCAGCACCGGCAGGGGCAGCATCAGCGGCTCCAAGAGAGCTACGGGGCAGGAGAGCTACCGGGCAGCAAGTGGGGCCATTCTCCCTGCCTGCGCCCGGGAGCCGCTGATGCCTGCAGCTCCCGGGGATGAATCAGCACCGGCAGGGGCAGCATCAGCGGCTCCAAGAGAGCTACGGGGCAGGAGAGCTACCGGGCAGCAAGTGGGGCCATTCTCCCTGCCTGCGCCCGGGAGCCGCTGATGCCTGCAGCTCCCGGGGATGAATCAGCACCGGCAGGGGCAGCATCAGCGGCTCCAAGAGAGCTACGGGGCAGGAGAGCTACCGGGCAGCAAGTGGGGCCATTCTCCCTGCCTGCGCCCGGGAGCCGCTGATGCCTGCAGCTTCCGGGGACAAAGTGGCACCGGCAGGGGCGGCATCAGCAGCTCCAAGAGAGCAACGGGGCAGCGAGCAGGGTCCTTCTCCCGCCCCGTGCCCTGGAGCCGCTGATGCTGCAGCACTGCTTTGTCCCTGGGAGCTGCAGGGTCGGATAAAGCGGAGTGTTGGATTACCAAATGAAGGATAATCCGGACTCTACTGTACTTAAAACCTACTGCTTCAACTTAATAAAACCATTTTTATTTTCTAGCAAACCCAGTGTAAGCGATTGTTACCTGGGGGGGCAATCAGTGTGCAAATTCCCCCTTTCGTTGCTAAAGGGGGCTTACCTAATTCCTTGGGGTCTGATCCCATCTTGTTACCCATGGGGCCTGGATAACATTCAAACATGGCCTGCTGGGAAAAGCCCCAGTCAAAAGAAAACAGATCCGCCCCCTCCCTCAGGGTCTATCACCTGTGAATTAGGCCCGTAAGAAAACAAAGGGGAAAAAAATAACAGACTCCGATTAAAGGTGAAAACAAGAAGGAATTGTATTAGGATTGTGAACAAAAAAGGGAAGAGCAGGGGAAGAAGCCCAGCACAAACTAATAACCATAAACAAAACAGTGAAAGTGAACAGTAAAAAAGCTCTATATAACCACAGACAGCGCGACCGTAAAGGTAAGTTGTACCCCAATTACAGATGGCTACTTGCTCTTCTCAGACTGGAGTGACAGGATCTGGAGAGAGTTGCTCAGGACCTACAACCCTTAGGCTGGTTGAGAGCCCTCAGGGAGGTACATCGGGGAGTCCTTCGCTGATGGTAAAAGAACCCCGAAGAGGATGGCAGGCAGGTGGTGCTTGCAGGATGGAAGGTGATAGATGGGATTCCTCTTCTGCTCTCCAGATTGGTCCACAGCAGGATCAGGTCTCTCAGTACCCACGCGAACACTGTCTCTCGGGTGGACAGCCCCCTCCTAGGCTGCATCCGAACTTATATAAACTTTTGGGTGGGAAACCTCTGAGGTGGTTTGCCCTTAGTCCACAAAAAGGCGGGAAAATCCAGTTTGTACTGGTTCTTGTTTACCACTCCATAGGAAGGACCCCTCCCTTTCCCAAAGTCACACCTTACAAACTCCGTTTTATCTATATCAACTCCATTTTGATATTTACCCAAACAGTCCATAATACCATTAAACTTTATTAACCTATTAACCAATTTTACATAACTATTTATCATGACAGAGGGTCAGCCTACAATCTAGGGAGTGCTACCTCAGAAGACTGGGCCCTAAACTGCACTCTCCTTGGACGTGAAGTGGTTCAGTGTCTGTACTGCTTCTCGGTGGGGGCAGGGACCTAAGCTCGGGATCTTGGCTGGGGGAGACCAGCGGAGCTGGCCCAGCAGGACTGGGTGTTGAGGAGCCTCAGATAGCGGGAAGGTGAGTGGCAGTGGCCGTGTCAGCACCCTGGGAGGCACCCCTGAGAAGTCGTCTGTGACCACTCCTCATCAATCTCGACAGCCCCAGAGAACCAGGAAGCAGCTGCCGGCCAGTCCTGGAGAGCTGTCGCCAGCTGAGGAAGTCCACACACATCTCTCAACCCCAGGCCCTGACTCCTGCACCTTCTACACTAGGGATGTTAAGGACTAGTCGACTATTCGATTCCCCTCCCCCACCCAGCTGCCTCTATCTAATAGAGGCAGTGGGAGGGGAGGGAGACAAGAAGGGGTACTTTGAAAGGGCAGTACCGCACAGCTAAGTCTGGGATCAGCTGTGCAGTACTGCCACGTGTGGAACCTGGAATCAGCTGGGGACTCCGGGTTCTGAGGAAATGCCGCGCGGAACTGCGGTCAGAGGGGGAGTCCCCAGCTGATCCTGGGTTCTGCTGAAATGCTGCGCAGAGCCCAGAATGAGCTGGGGAGTCCCCAGCTCTGCGTGGAATTTCAAATGGGCAGCACAGTTGGGCTCCATACTGCCGCTTTGAAATGCACAAGAGCCCCCACTAGGAACTCTTGTACATTTCAAAGCTGGCACGTTGCATGCAGCCCAGAGGGACTTCCTGCTGGCCCCGGGCTGCATGGGGAGTTCCACATTCTCCTCCTTTGAGATGCACAAGAACCCAGCAGAGACTCTTGTACATTTCAAAGGAGGCATACCGAAGTGCCTATCGACTAGTTGAGGGAAATTCCATCGACTATTCGACTAGTAAATGAACTGTTACTTATCCTACACCCTGCCCTAAGCCTCCAACCCCCTACACTGACTCCTGCTCCCCGCATACCCTTCCATGACTCCTGTATCCACATACCCTGCCCTTAGTCTCCCTCACGTACCTCTCAACTCACTGCCCTGTTTCCTGCATCCCCTGCCCTGAAGCCCCCACAAGGTCCCAAACAATGCTGGGTAAATCCAATAATATTTCATAAATGATTAATAGATGTCTTAAGAAATAGCTTATCAAATTGTTGCAGATTATTATTTTCATAATAAAAACAGTATTTTGGCTAATCTCTCATGCATGAAGTGTGCCCATTTCTCTTAACACCCGATATGAAGTGCGCTATATGCACTGAAAGGAGAATAAATACATATAACTTAATAGCTCTTATTTATAAAAATGAAAATAAAACAAAAAATGTCCATTACCAGAAATATAAAATAGTTTTAATGTGAAAGAGAAGGGACAGAACACTAATCTGTTCTTGCAGCTAGTGGAAACAGTTATTTATAACTGTTAGCCCTTTTATGCTCAACACATACTTTCCTTAATGAAAATTACAATCATATGCAAAATCCTTAAAGAATTATTTAAAAACAGATAATCTTATTTAAACCATTTTTATATCAAAAGCATACAAGAGTCTCTAACAATGATGCATAGAATTTACTTTAAAAAGGAAATGTAGGTATCCAAAGAGGTTGTTTGTACCTTTATCCAATCTTAAAAATTGTATTTTAATACTCACTCTTGCCTTCCAGACCCAAGGATCAAAAACAGAAGGTTCTGAAAAATGTAATTCTGTCATTCTGTCACCAGGACAGTACAAAAAAGAAAAAACACCATGCTAGATCCAGCCTCTCACCCCCCATTAAAAGAAGCATTTCTAGTGCTCATTAGCAAATACTCATGTTTCACTTAGAGGCTTTCGAAATTTGCTCTGAAGAAAAACTCTTGGAACACGCAGGCCTTCTTTCCTATTCACAGTTTCTCGTAGCACATACTCATTGACCACTTGCTCATATCCTACAGCCATAAAGAGATGAGACAAAAACTCTACAAGGAAGAAAGATGAAAGGTGGTGTTACTAAAAGTTAGTTTAGACTGTTTTTAAGCACAAGTGAGCATTTATACAAGGATTTGTTTTTAACTACTTAAGGGTATGCACTTTCTTGAAAATCCCAAAGGCTTCAAATACGCAAGCTGCTCTATGCAGACACTACCAACTGCACTGAGCCTCACTGAAGTCAATGAAGCAAAATGCAGGACAATGTAGCACTTTAAAGACTAACAAGATGGTTTATTAGATGATGAGCTTTCGTGGGCCAGACACACTTCCTCAGATCAAATAGTGGAAGAAAGTAGTCACAACCGTATATACCAAAGGATACAATTAAAAAAAAGAACAAATATGAAAAGGACAAATCACATTGCAGAACAGAAGGGGGATGCGGGGGGGTGGGAAGGGGGATATTAGAGGTGGGGAGAGTGGGATGTTTGTGAGTTAATGGTATTAGAGGTGATAATTGGGAAAGCTATCTTGATAATGTGTAAGATAGTTCAAGTGTTTGTTCAATCCGACCCTGCTGGCATTCCGAGCAGCTTATAAAGGACTGGGGCTTTAAATGGCTAACACAGTCCTATTTCAGCTATTGTGTACATTTATCATTTTAAATGGAAAGTTTTCCATTTCCTCTTATGGCTGACTGAAATTATTTTCAGATTTTGTAGAGAGCCAACACAAAGCCAATGCACCATCCTAAGTCCTGTTTAAACCCCATTTCAGAGATTTCAGTGGTGGATTGACTCAGGCTTGCTCTCTACATAGAGGTTAATATGACAAGTTCTCACATTGTAGTTAAACAGGAAAAGAAAGGGAAGGTGACAAACTGGAAATGTTGATTCTATGCCTCCGCAGTTCAAACTTACTTTTCGTATACTGTATACATAGAAGAACTCCTAGTGGAATAATTCTTTCCATAGAGGACATAGACCTAGACATTGGACAGAGTCAGAAGACCCAGCTCAGCTGCTGACTTATGTGATCTTGGGGAAGGAAGTCATGTCTCCTTTGCTTTCCCTCTTACCTTTCTTCATCTGTTTTACCTAATTAGACTGTCAACTCTCCATAGCAGAAATTGTTGCACACTGTGTTTATACAGTATGAGAAATACAGGATACTAAAATGCAACTAACAGATACCACGCCATACAACACTGCAACTTTACTATAATGAAATCACACTATGATCGATTCCCTACTCACTCACTCCTCTACTAAATATATTAAATAATTTGGTGTAGTGAAAAATTAGTTCCCTGAGAACATGAAAGACTGATAGTTTTGTCTGAGCCAGACATATACCCCTTTCAAAAAAAGAACAATCATAGTCGGCATTTGCTCCTCTTTTCACCTCTCCCTTTCATTTCTTTCATGTTTCATTTTTCTCAGCTGAAAATAAAGAGCACTAGCACCTTCTCACTGGCAAACCTCCTCCGTGAATGGCTACCAAGTGATCACACAGCACATTTTGCTGCAATACACATTGTGTTTTGACTATCAAACTTCTGGAAAAACACATCTGTTAGATCACAATTAAACCCAATAGGGCATTTTGGAAAGAACTGACTCTGGTTAATGATATTTTAGAGAGATTTGCTGCTACAACTTAATATACATGTTATCTTCATATCACCACAAGAAAATGAGACTGCAGGTAACAGAAGAATCTTCAAAATTCAAGAAAAAAAAAACCTCAAGAAATTTCCCATACAAACACTCAATCGTGACATCTTATTCCCAAAATGCCAAACAAGGGATTGGATTTAAATTTCCATTTCTCGGGTGGCTCCTCACTCCTTCCCTCCAACAGCAGAGCTCACTTCGCTACCATTAACAGTATAAGTGGAATTAAACAAACTCACTGATTATAATAAAAATGACCATAGAAATGCTTTAGTGAAAGTTGTATAGCTGCTTGCATTATTTATCTTAAATTTAGTCAATATCCTTTAAAAAAAAAGAATCATTTAAAAATTATTAATGGAATTAGTTTTCATTTTGAAATATGAGCAGCAACTAGGTAATCCACTATGTCATAAAATATCAAAATTATTTTCTTAGCTCCAATTTTGGTACCCAAGAAACTTTCAATGCTTGATTATGCTATAAAGAAGAAAAAAAATACTTTTTTCTTTACAAAGCCCCATAATGGTTATAGGGAAGTATTTGTTCTCTAGTGTGCATTGAGCAAAACTGGGAGCCAAGAGACCAGAGTTACAATCCCAGCTTTGTACAAAACTTGGGCAAACTATTTTATTTCTCTGTGCTTCAGTTTTCCTATCTGTAAAATTGGGACAATGAATCTTCTTTTATAAAGCATTAAGATCCCCGAATGAAAGACTACATACTCTAGAACCTCAGAGTTATAAATACCAGAATTATGAAATGAGTGGTCAGCCACCCACCCCATTTGGAACCAGAAGTAACACAAAGCAGCAGAGATTTTTTTTTTTAAAGAAGCAAATACAGAACTATACTGTGTTAAACACAACACACTAAAAAAAGGAAAACACCATTTTTCTTTTGCTTAGTAAAGTTTCAAAACTGTATTAAGTCAACACTCAGTTGAAAATTTTTGAAAAAACCATATCATTTTGTTCAGAGTTATGAATAACCTCCATTCCCAAGATGTTTATAACTTTGAGGTACTACTGCAGCCATGGCCAACCTGCGGCTTGAGAGCCACATGCGGTTCTTCCCCCCGAAAAGTGCGGCTTGCAAAGCTGCTCCTGTGTCCCCCCCCCAGTCCCTGGCCCCCTCCATGCTCATGGGGTTGGTGATTCAAAATGGCGCCAAAGATGGCAGCCATTGAAGGGAACCTGATATGGCCAAAAAGCCTAAGCTTGCTTGCTCCTTAAAGGGACATCTTCCTTTTTTTTTCTTTTTTTTTTGTTTGACAATTCGGGGGAGGGGGGGAAGCCTTTCCTTTTCTAATTTTTTTTGGCTTGACAATTCTGGTGTGGCTCTTTGCATTCTTTCTGCCGCTGTTTCAGCTCTCTTTGCTAAATGGGTTGGCCATGCCTGTACTACTGTAAGTATTGTTAATTTTGTAAGGTGATGATAATGAAATACTTTTATAAGTAATCTATACTAAAATGTAGAGCTGGCTGAACTTGGTAATAATCTACTAGAAGAGACAACAATCACAACTAGTCAAATTATGAGCACAGTGTTACCTCAATAAAACTTTTGTTGAAGCTTTCCTCCCACCCAGTCATATTTTTGCTTCTAAGCCCACTGACTTCAATTTTGAATCTGAATTCATATACATACACCCCTTAGTAGTCACATCTGAGACCAAATCTTTTCCTAAGCATTTTTCTCTTTCTTTCAAAGCATTGATATGAATGAGGCCACTGCAGTTAACAAGTTCTAAACCTATGCAGTAGTGAACTCACCATGAAGGACCGTCAACAGATCAAATTGCTCCTTCAGTCCTGCCCATTTTATAAAATAACCATATGCAGCTGGTAAACAAATTACACATACGAACTTTGAAACACTGGTGTAACAGACAACCCTTAAGGCATAGCAACAATTCACTGAAGCAAGTTTAAACCAAAAAAAAGCTACAGAAAAAAAATGTATTACATATCTTACCATCAGTAAAGAAATATGACCTTGTCCCATCTTGTCTAACATAAAAGTTTTCTCCAAGTTTGTTGCCAGATTTAAACCTAAGCATCGCATGATCATAGAGCCCATAGTCTCTAAATAAGACACACTTGCCTGGTTTTAACACCTATCAGATAAAATGTATATTTATCAGTAAAGTGGACAAAACAAAATGACTTAAGGGTGAGAGAACATTCGTGACTTGTACATTTCTGCAGAAATGAACAAATGCATTAAATGAGCTAACCATCCTCACAAAGAAAAGTCATTAGCCACTATTCCATTTGAGCTAAGAAATAAATCTCTATTTTAGAAAGCAAACTCTGAAGTATATCAAAACCTAACCTCTATTATTCAGACTATAGATGTGACACACTAAATATTCAGTAATGTAAAAATCAAAATATGAACTGAATTTTATATTTAGTTGTTTGTGCAAATAAAAATATGTATGGTGCTAACAAAAGAATGAGAAATCAAAAAGTAAAGGTGCTTTCCTTTCTTTACAATCAGTAGCCAATATTTTGTAACCACCGTTATCTCAAAATAGTTGTGCATTTTTCAACTCTCATTTTAGGGCCTGCTCCTACTTGATGCTGAGTACCCTCAATCTGAGTTAAAACATTTCAGCATCTCCCCCTGTGAAGTGCTAATGCTCCTCCTTGACTTCTTATTTGAAGCCTAATGACCCAGTCCTACACATACTTATGTACATGCTTAACTTTGTAACTTGTGTGTAGTCTTGCTGATTTCAATGGGACTACTCAGTGTGTAAAGTTAAGCAAGTAAGTTAGGCCCTGAACCTGATAACACTTAATCATTATAAATATAACATACCACCATAGAACCTTTAAGTCAGATAAATGAAAAAAAAGTTGTTTTTAATGAGAACTAGATACCGTCACAACACTGCATTTTGTTTTAGCATGCATATTAAGGTGCTTGGTATAGATAAAAATGGTAATTAAACCTAGAGAAAGCAACATTCATTTCTGACCTGACTTTCAGCCAATTAATCAGATGATTTCCTTTTTATAAAAATAAGCCATAATAGCATTTTCTTAATGATATTCCTTAAAATGGCAAAAAGTCATACTGTAAAAATGGCATTGAGGCTCCATGTGCTACATCTCAAGGACCATACAGCAAGTATGTTTAGTTTACTTGCAAAAAAATATTTATTCTAACAGCCATCTAAATGTCATATTATCAACATGATAATTTTGTAACATGAATTTAGTTATGCTGACAATGCACAAGCCAGAGGAGAATCCATCTCACTTACTCAGAGCTCATAGGAGAAAAATATAGTCAAAACTTATTTTAGTCCTTAGAATAAGCAAATGTGACTGAATTCTTCCAGAGAGTAATTAACTAAGATGGTACTACTTTCACAGTTTATTTTCAGAGTGGAACAGTCTTCTTCTTGGGTCAAAGAAGACTAAACAATACCCCCAAAACTGTTAAGTCATACTTATACATTTACCTTATAAATATTTTGCAAGGCAAGGTGCATCTTGTCAGGGTGAATGGCAGAAAGCACAAATATTAACGTGACAACATCCAGAGAATCTGCTGGTATATTTTCCAGAAGGTCGTCTTTGGTCAGATCACATTGGAATACTTTACATCTCTCAATATTATATAAAGTGTTCTTCTATGGGGTGAAAAGATGCTGTTATTTTTCACCTAAAGCAACATGGACTATAAAACTATAAAGACAAAATTGTATTTTCTGATTTTTTTTAATTGGGAAAGCAACAGAAGGAAACAGAACTACAAAAGTGCATTCATACCAAGCTTTCTGTTTACTCCAGTCCAAACTCACACTAAGGCTTGGTTTACACTAGGAAATTATATTGGTGTAACTTCATCACTCAGGGATGTGGAACATCCACACCACTGAATGATGGAGTTATGCCAACCTAAACTGTGGCATAAACAGCACTATGTTGATGGAAAGGCTTTTGACATAGCTAACCAACTCTTGGAGAGGAGTACCACCTACTAGGGATGAAAAATCCTGTTTAAAATGTTAACCTGTTAATCTATATGTTTAACCAGTTAACTGGCCCACCGTGTTGTGCCATGGATGGGTGGGATGGGGTCATTGGAACAGCCCCTGCCTGTGGTGTGGTTGTCCCAGCCAGGCAGGGCCCACCGGCGCCACAGGCAGGAGATTGCTCAGGCTGGGCACCAGTTACTCCAGTAAGCATGCCAATAAGGCAATGCTTACTCGGTAACCAGTTAACCGGTTACTCTTTAAAATCCCCTACTACTTAGGCCGGGAGTGGGGAACCTTTTTTGGGTCAGGGGCTGCTGACACACAGAAAAATCAGTTGGGGGCTATGCACAAGTGAGAAGCAAAACAAAAAAAAACCAAAAAAACAAAAAAAACAAACTCCCCATCAGAGGAAAAAGACTTGCACACCACATTTCCCTTGCACACCAGAGCCTAAGGGGGGGCCTTGCCTAGTAGATTTTGTGTGCTCCAGCCCCATGGGGGAGCAGCGGGGGGGGGGGAGAAGGAGAAGGAGAGGCTAGAGCACAAGTGCAGGCTCCCCAATTTGGGGGGTCCTGAGCCTCTGGGGCCAGATCCAGGAAAGCCGGGGGCCACATCTAGTCCCTGGGCCTGAGTTTCCCCATCCCTGGCCTAGGCTGACAGAATAAGCTCTCTTGTTGGAATAGGTAGCATCTCCACTAAACACTGCAGTGGAGCAACTGCACCAGTGCACCTGTGCCACTGAAGTGCTGTGTCACTATCCCTGAGGAAACTCTGTTCCAAAAACTTTAAAAATTCTGCACCAAAAAATTTAATAAATCTACACACAATATTTTTAAATACTGCCCATTTTATCTGTCAAAAATATATATAATTATGCCAGCGACCCTGGAACTGGAGGTAGGATGCAGGACTGAATTGTATAAAAATGAATTAGCGAATATAAACATACTATCTATTCATACCAGGTCTTCAATTTTTCTTGAAAAGAGACCCTTCAGTTTTTGTTTTAAAGATCACTCTGATTGTCGCTCCCCCTTCCCTGCAAAGGATGCCACAGCTGAATTCATGTCCCAAATCAAATTGTGGTTGAACTGTGTAGTTTTCCACAACATGGTTATGTTGCAAACCTCCCCCTTACCCCCCAAAAAAGAGGACTTCTTTGCTGAATCAGTCTATTATTCTCATTGGCCAAACTTAACTTCTAGGAAATATCCAAGCACAACACTGATGCTTACTACTACAGTAATATGATTTAATAGTAAAAAAATCAGGTCCTAAAATTCTTGTAAATTAAGCATCAGTACTGTGTATCAGTTTCTCTCCTCTTCCATACAGGCCAGTTTACCATCCTAATAGAAGAAAACAAAGCTATATCATCTGGAATTTGATAAGCACAAATTTCTAAAGAAGCACTAAAAATACAAATAAATATCACACCAACCTTTACATATTCAACAGCTCTTGGAGAGAAATCACAGGCATAAGCAAAGATATTCAAGTCCTCTTCTAAAAGTGGAAACAAGCAATTTCCAACCCCACAGCCTGCTTCAAGCATGGTCAGTTTCTCATCTTCAAACTATATGGGAGAAAGAGGCCAAGGATACAGCATGTCACTTGTGTTTGATCTTTATATTACGAAGATACCACTTTTCACACTTTAAAGTTAGGATCAGCATTTCAATTATCCGTCTAAAATCTGATGGAACCTGTCACTCGCAAAGGGCACAGCAAAGTATAGGCTTTCATTTAGATCACAGTAAGTTTCTCTTTAGAAACTACTAAAAACTCATTATTGATCTACTCATTTCAGCAGTGATCAAATTAGCAGAAACCCTCACCATTCGTGGTATATACAAATGGCGAAATTTGCAAATACTGGGAGCTATGGACCCTGGCTCCTGGGGGAAGCTCCCCGTGGCTCCCTAACAGGAAACTCACCATGGCTCCCGGCACCTCAGCGAGTTCCCCACAGCTCTTGATCACACCATCCCCTTCAGGTCAGGAATGGAGACCCCATGAATATGCGGAACCCCAGAGAGCAATTCCGCGAATCACGAGGGTCTCCTGTATGCTTTCCTCTATGCCCTGGCCCTTTTGTAAAAAGGGTGAACAAATGCATTTGAATATGATTTTTTTAAATGTATATTTTAATGCTTTGACTATTCTAGATAGTCAACTTTGTAACAGGGTGCAAAATTTTGAGCAACTTGTGTTGGAAAAGAGAGAGAGAGAGAGAGAGAGGATCTTAGATCTAATTTAGGACACTAACAGAGAGAGAGAGAGAGAGAGAGAGAGAGAATGGATCTTAGATCTAATTTAGGACACTGAGCAAGTGTTCTAGAGCAGTGGTTCCCAAACTGTGGCGTTCAACTCCATAAAGATTGCAGAGCAACATATGGCAGGTCCCAGGTGAGTTGAGGAGAGAGCATCACACTGCCTTACTCAGCTCCCCAGCTCCTCTCCAACCAGGGCCATACTTAGGATTTATGGGGCCCTATACAGTACTATTAAACTGGTGTCTCTATGCCCAACAGCATTTGGGGAGGGAGATTTCTTTAGACACATGGTTTTAAAATCTTCAGCAGCACACTAACATATTTTTATAGAAAATTTTAAACCAAGATCCTGTAGACCAGGGCTACTCAACTTTGGAAGCCTCAGAGGCCACAATAATACAGCACATGCCGAGGGCCGCAACTTAAGTGTCGTTGCTTATACATGCAAATTGCTTCTTTCACACGGGTTGGCATGAATACAAAGCACTTCCCACATTCCCCAGGACTCCCGGCACCTCCTCCCTGGGGGCTAGAAACGCCAGCCCGTCCGCTTGCATCTTTCAATGCTCACCCCACCTGGCAGACGCCTTGCCATTGTGGAGCGTGTTCCCAGTGGAGGTCATGTTCAAAGATTCCCACCTGCAGGCCACGTGTTGAGCCCCGCGTAAACCAAAACTGCACTGCAGGCCGCAAACATACAGGCCATGGGCTGTGTGTTGAGTAGTCATTCTATAGACTCACACAGTACATTCAGAACCTGACAGTATATACTAGGGATGTGGAAGTTTAACCAGTTAACTGGGAAGCATCACCCTAAATTGGGGGGCAGGAGTAGCTCCCCATCTGTTGTGGGCAGGGAGCTGCTCCAACCCCACCGGGGGCCCATCGTGGACACAGTCGGGGAGCAGTCCCTGTTCATGGGGAGCCCAGGCACCCCACAGGCAGGGACTGTTCCAGCCTCCCCAGAAGCCTCTGTCCATGGGGGAGCCAGGCGCCCCACAGGCTGGGGTTGTCCAGAGCAGCCTCTGTGAGGAGCTCGGGCATCCCACAAGCAGAGCTGCTCTGTGAGGGCTGGGTGTCAGCATCAGCCCCAGCCCATGTGCAGGGGTAGTGAGCTGGCAGATCCAGACCCAGTATGATGCTGGGAGTGGGAGCCCTGTAGGCTGGGGGCTGCGCCAGCCAGGCTGCAGTGGTCCCCAGCCCTGATCTCACTTTAGTCAAATAACCAATTAAATGTTAGGCTAACCTAATGTTTAACTGATTAATTGGGATTTTACATCTCTAGTATATACCTGGGGTTGGCAAATGCCTATTCAATGGCTTCATTATTATCTGAATGGCTCTTTCACAGGTTCAATGTGCTGCTAGTAGGTCTGACATGCTTTTTCACTTTTAAGTGAACTAGATCCTCTATGGAAGAAGTAGAGCCACAGAAGAGGAATAGGAGGAGGCAGTGGGTAGACATTAAGAACCAGTGGTGACCCAAATTTTCAGGTACTCTACACATCTGTGTATTCTAAGTATAGGTAAGGATGGGTCAGTCTCCAAACTCTGCCCCAGCCTCCATTCCTAGCCACAGCTGCTGCTCCTGGCTTCCCCCACAGCCATACCCGTGGTCCAAGCTCCACTCCCACTCCTGGCCCAGCTCTGTCCGATTCCCTTTCCAATCCTAAACCATGTCTGGCTGTAGCCTCAAGGTCCTTTCCCCTTTCCAATGCTGCCCCCAATTTTGCCTTCCACCCAAGCTCCTCTGCTGAGTCAATGATGCAGTAATGTGGGGTAGAGAGAGAGTGTGGACAAATTCGATTACTGGTAAGGGGAGGCACAATAGGAAACGTTTGGGATCCACTGGTCTAGAGAGTGGGTCTGAATGTAAAATACAGATCAATTATAATATATTATTAAAAGATTTTGTAATAGGTTTTGGGTTTTTTAACTTTTGAAACTTTCAGTTGGGTCTTGACGGTGCCTCCTCTTGGAGACAGGGAGGGGAAAACAGGATGAAAGGACCAATCAAAAAACTCTTCAATTTTTTTATATCTTAAAAGTCATGGAAGCTATCAACTCCACAACATTGTGCACTTGGGGTATGTCTACTTCATTAGTAGTATTTGTTCCTTTATTTGTAGAATTAGTGTATATGGCTCACCTCCCGACATGCTTTTAAATCTTCAAACTCCCTAGTTGTCCAATGCCGGTCTTTAAAGAAGTTTGTGCTGTTTCTTTTGTAAAACAGATCCCAGTTCTTCTGTGCCTCCTTCTCTAGTTTCAGTTTTTTGAAGTCAGACACCAAAACTTGCTCTCTTGCCAGTTTCTCAGCTTCTTCAGAGCTAAGGGTCCTTGCACTATGCCCTTTCTTTTGGAAAGCATCATCTTCACAAATTGGAGATACTGAATTCACATAATTATCAGATGTATTTTCTTGGGACATCCTGGATTAATCCACAGGAATACAAACACAACAGATTTAAAGTGGTTTTTTCCCCCCTCATGTATTTATTGCCATCTTTCATTTCAGATCAGACAACCTGGAAACATAAGAAACAATGAGAAAAGAATTATAGTTTGCAGTTCCTGTACCAGAGACTCCTCCCCAACCTCTCCCCCCAGGCAGCCGTCCCCCACTTCCTTCCCCAAACCCTCCCTGCCCCAGAGACCCCGCCA